ATAGGTATATAATGTAGAAATGATTAGTTCAGATATTTATATTTCAACTTATATTTAACTTGAATAAATGGGCATATTTGGCTTATATTGGTATTGTGAAAATATTTGATAAAAATGTGTATTTAAAATTCTAGCCCAATCTACTCTTAATTTCTAGATTCGTCCTTGACACGGGCGTTGTACTAGTTCATTATATTCATACAACAATTGTCATTGACATATGGCATATTCCACATTTATATTATTTTTATTTTTAATTAAAATCTAAAAATTACGCTAAAATGTAATAACTATTGTGCTATGGAACCCAGTCCCAAACCTCTTTCCCAGACGACGACGACGACCCAGCCAACGTACCCATTGTGCTATGGAACCCTACCATCCAGAGGTGCGTCTTAGTACCGGACCCCACCTTCAGTCTAGAACATAAGTGTTCATACGGGAGCTTTCTTGGGAGGACACCTCTTACATTGAATATTTGATGCAGATGAAGGAGTGTATGGACACCCTTTACACGTTCGATGTGGCGGAGGAGGTTTTTGCTGAGGTGGGCTTACCTGAGGAGGTGATGGCGCCTTTCAAAGTACGTTACTCAGTACCAAAGGTTGCTGTAGTGGGGGACTTATTGCATGTGGTGCATACCGGTCGAGAGCATTTGACAATTTGGGTGAAGATGGAGGATGCTGGATCTTGTGATGTGTACTGAAAGAAATTGTACAGAGTTGATGATGTGGGAGCTATGTTTGTGTGTTTTTTGAAGAATGGGGAGTTGTTGATGGACAAGTACCTCACTTACCCCACTACTGGCCCCGTCGATCAAGGCCATGGGCGTGCCTTAGCGGCATATGATCCGAGGGATGGGAAGTTAATTAAGGACTTGGAGCCTTTGTCCCTCTCTCAACAACGAGCCTCTAGGATTGTCCGTTCTAGGAATCACCAACAGAGTCTCGTCCTCCTCGACCGAACGCTAATTGGCGACCCACAAACTACTTAGGAGTAAAAGGATGACAACCCCAACAACAGGGGCTTAGATATATCGAGTAAAATCACTTTATGCTTCTTAGGTAATGGGGTGGGCTTTTGCATTGTAGAATGTCATATACAGTAAGTTCTGCTTTTGTAGTTTTCTGTTTTTTCTCACTCCCCTGATAAATGGTTGGTTTTGTTTTTGGAGTTTCTGTTCATTCAAGTTGCATTGCTTTTGAAGGGAACTTTTTGTATTTGGGATGAGAATTATCGAAGATCTGTTTCACTCTATCGAAACCATTGTATCATGAGATGCTCCGAACAAATTGTAGATATCAATTCAAAAAATTACATATGAATATGTGATTCACACTTCAAACCCATTTGCAACTTGATGACACAAACTCAGAGTGAAAACCATTTTAGCATTATCAAAACACTAAACTGCAAAAGTACACCGGTTTCATTTCATACAACATTTTTCTCTGTGCCTTTATACAACTTCACAATAATAATAACAAAATAATAATAATATAATGCAAAATGAATTGAGGCAACTAAGCTAATTAGTAGACTAGCCCGGGTTCAAACTCCGCAAAGTCAACCGAACCTGATTCAATAGGTTTCATGAGATATGCAGCAAGCAACTCAGAAGCTAAAGCAGCAATATGGGGAATCCTCTTCAAGTTTTTGACAAACGGGATATCATCACTCTCCCCAATTGCAAGTATTTGTTCGTTAATCTCCACCATTCGATCCAACTTCCGTTTAAATTCCGGATTCTCAACGTCCAGCACGGCAGGGAATATTCTTGCAGTCGTGCGATTTGTCTGCGCAAAAGTGGCCAGAGTTGACAAAAAAGATCAAGTTTTCAGAAAAAAATATAAAAGTTGAGATTTTTACAGCATTCAAGATCATTCGAAACTTTTGGATGGACTACACAGTAATTTCAATGAGTTCAAGACAGTACACAAAATTGCAAATATAATTAATTACCTCAATGATGACATGCATGTCAAACTCCTTAGTATCCAATCCAATCCCCTCATAAAAAGCAGTTCTTTGGCAGTCATTAAGGTACATTGTCACATAAACCTAGGAATTTGAAAGCAAACACACATTAGACACAGCTAATCTTGACGAATCATATAAAAATGTGGTAAAATGTAGCTGTAAGAACTGAGTTAATTTAATTACTGAGAGGCAGAAAAAACGGGACCACAACTTCGCCTTCCAGTCGTTGAGGAACTGTGGCTGTGCCTTCATAAGCGCCGAGAAAAAATCGCCATGTCGATTCTCATCTTGACACCAGTTTTCAAAATACTTAAAAATAGGATAACATTGATAATCGGGGTTTTCCTTGAGATGCCTGTAAATAGTAATGTATCTCCAGTACCCAATCTTCTCGGACAAATAAGTAGCATAGAAAATGAATTTGGGCTTGAAAAATGTGTATTTTCGGGCCTTTGTCAGAAATCCCAAGTCGAGAGCCAAATTGAAGTCCGATAGACCTTTGTTCAGGAACCTGTCAACAAAGATTTCACCATAAACCTTAATTGTCTTCTTATTCAAGAGAGTTTGTGCAAATAAAAAGACAAAAACAAAAACAAAAACAAAAACAGAAAAACCAAACCCACCCAGCATGCCGGGCTTCGTCTCTAGACATTAGTGAGAAAATCTCAGCAACCACAGGGTTAGTTTTCTGCACAAAGAAACCGGTAACAGTAAGTTCAGGGGAACTAAACAATAGTAAGCAATAAGCATGCATTTGACTAAACAGATTTTCACAAATAAATGATAGATTCGACCGGGAGCACCTAAAGCACTTCAACAGGAGAATAAATTTGAAAAGGCTCGGTTAATTCATGATGAGACTCTTTTTCTTTTTCCTTCAGATATGAAACTTCCAAAATCTGTATATGCTTAAAGAAACCCAATCACTTTATGTTTCTCTAGGCTGTGTAGGTTCTGAAGATTTACTCAAGCTGAAGCCCCCAAAACATAAATCATTAATAAATCAAATCAAACATTCAATACAACGTCTACAAGATTCCCCATATATATCATCCATCAAACAGAAATGTGATACTATAGAAAAAACATGATGGCATAAGTATGCATTTTAGCTAAAACAATATGAAGACTCGACCCGCCTAATGGTTAGGCCGCCTCACAAAAGAATTTGTACATCCATATAGTTAAGAATAAAAATCATACCTTGAGCCTCCTGCCCAGCTCCTTGTAGAGAAGAAAACCCGAGAACTCAGCCGTACAAGACCTCTCCAAAAACTCGACGAAGATTCCCCTCAAAGGGCCCTCAAGCTTCTCGGCGGCCTCCTTGAACTCGTTGCTCCTCACGAAATGGGTCTGGTTGAAATCGGTCTTGAACTCCTGGAGCAAGGCCTCGAACTCCGCCATGTTCAGGTTCTCGTTGATCTCCGTGTTGAAGAGCTGCTCCATCTCGTCGAAATCCGTCGTGTAGAACCTCGGCGTCAGAAGGGTCTCCTTGATTTCTTGTTTCTGGCTCTTTTTCTTCGCGGCGGCCGCCGACTGCGCGGCGGACGACAACTTCACGGCGAAATGGGTTTTCCGGCACGGTGGGCTTCTTGAGCCTCCGATTCTTGGGGTAAAGGTGTTGAATTTGGAAATGGGTTTTACCAACGCCATTTTTGCTAGCAATTTTTTTTCTTCAACAATATTGAGAGCTGCTCAGGGATAACGGAAAGTGCATATGTAAGTTGGATTGATATTTGAAAATGATTGGATGTAATCTCATCCTGTAAAATCTGTGGGTTTGATGAAGTTCTGACACGTGGAGTGATACTGTTGGTTAGTTTGATTGCTTTGTTGGTAGTTAGTTTGATTTCGTGGTCTTCTTCAGCCTGAAATTTTCCCTCTTGCAAAGGCATAATATGCATAGTTTTGCTGTCATCGGATCGAATGACTCGGTTTATAGAGTCATCCATAGTTATTAATGTGTTGACACGTGTCCTGCAATACATGCACATTGGACATGTATCGCAATACATAAAGTTATGAACGACTCTACAAGAGAGTCATCCAATTGCTCCATAGAATTTTTCTAATACAGTTTCGCTATGGAACCATCGAATCGGATGACTCGGCTTATGGAAATCCATAGTTATTAACAAATGATGTATTGACACGTGTTCTGCAATACATGTACATTGGACATGTATCAGTACATAAAGTTATGAATGACTCCATAAAAGAATCATCCGATTGCTCCATAAATTTTTTTTTTCTTACTTTTTCACTTCTCAATTTATCAATACAATTTTTAAAATGAAAATTTTAAAATAAAATTCTAAATATGTTTTTCCTATAAAATGTAGTATCTATTCACTCATATTTTTAACTACTGGTTATTAGTTTTTATATTTATATCAAATCATTATTTATTAGTACATTTTCATTTCATGTCCAAATTACTCTATTTAACAATATTTCACCCAAATTTTTTTTCCAAATATTTATTTTATGGAAGAAAAAAAAAATTAAAGAATATATAAACATCAGCAGAAAAAACACTGACAAATGCAAAATAACATCACTATACAAAATCTACCACCATTCTTCACACTAACAGGATTTCATCCTCATTCCACTTCAAGATCCTGTGTATTTATTCTGATCAACAAAGGTTTCAATTTGATTCATATAAATCCTCCAAAAGCTTGGATACCAAATCTTCAAACCCCAGCCAAAAATAAAAGAAAAAAGAAAAAAAATCTTTCCATCTTCCGGTTGAAGAAACATAGCCTCTGAGCACCCCCATCAAGAACTATTAACCTGTTATCTTATGTTCGACCGGATCCTTTAGCCCGTCGTAATTCAGATATTATGGCATCAAACTTTTCATCTACATCCTCCTCCTCAAGATCAATAGTTAGCCCACTCATCGACTCCTTCAGCTCTCGTTCGACCCGAACAATATCTTCTTGGCCCGAATAAGATCTCTCACTA